AATAGACACTTGTTGCAAAATGTGAAAAAAATGTCCTTTACTTTTTTTAGTTCCCCTCTTTTGTTCTGATGTCCCAGACTTGCCAGCCACTATGCTCAGGTCATCCATTTCATCTACCCCCCTCCCCCCAACATAACATCAAATCAAACTTGCCTTTTCAATACGTATTCTATCTCCAGTTTCTGCATCAATTCTGTTGATAATTATAGTGTCATTCACAGTGATCTTAAATTGGCTCCCCCCTGATAAGAGAGAAGGCACATCACAGTAAATACAAAGAAACTGTTAACCCTTTAATTCCCAAGATCTCATTAGTAATTCTCCTTGCTGTCTGCCAAATGTTTCTCATTATGTTAGTTTGGAGAATTTAGTTTCAGATATATTAGTAATCCCATAATTGAGAATTTCTTCATTCTCATCACTTGTCTGCATGATATTGTATAGATAAAGTAAGGAAAAATTCTGTCTTGGTCTCTCATGGGAGTTGCAGGGTTAAGATGATCAATCTCCAGAAGTAAACACAAAAGATGATTACTCATCTTGACAAAGCAAACAAAATCTTAAGTTGTTCCCATAGTGAGCTCAAAATGTACCATATTCCTCAATCTGTTTGTTCTCTAGAAGAGTTACACAAATGTTCATGCATTACATGTAGCACTAAATACTACATGGCCAATTCTACATACTGACCTAAATGAACCACAGCAAATATCTGACCACTTGATTCACCCTTTAACATTTCATCTTGCACATTTTTCATGACATCTACAATTAAAATTATAATATTTATATGAGCAAGAAGCCTCAATTTAAGTCTTCTTTTGGGCAAATGATATGAATAGGTGCATTACAACAATACAGACTGCTTCAAAAAATGAACCATACTGCTCCACAGCACCTCCAGCTTTCTAATAAAGAATACAAGCTTGGGAAAAGAATGAAAATTGACATTAAAATAGGCTATTACATCACTGCAAGCTGTGACCATTTCAGTTGCCATATTGGGTTGGGAAGAATTTTAGCAACTAGATTGGCAATTTAAGTTCCAATTGAACAACCTCTGTTCACTATTCATGAAACAGTTAGTTGTTAAGTTTTAATCACACAGTATTCATGGTCTTGTGCATACAGTAAGTGAGGATATCCATTTCACATGATATGACCCAGTTTTGTACGTTTATTTATTTGTCTTTTCATTCACCTGTATATTTATTTTTAATTTTTTCTGGAATGCATTTCACAATTTTAGTTTGCTAAATGGCATCACTCAAGGAGGTTGAGTTGGAGCCCAGAATTAATGAAAAGTTCTGTCACTACTCAATATAGGTTCAATAAGACTTGTACCTGATGAATACGGTGGACAATTTTGTTCATCCTCATCTTCTCCACTAGCTTCTGTCAGAGAACTTGATCCTGTACTAAGACTACGGATATCAACATTTCCAAGCAGACTAACAGGGTTTGTTGCTGAAAACTGAGATACTGCTGCAGCAGATTTTGTAAACATTGTGAGGCTGTTGGGATGAATACGATAACAGACTGAGAATGAACATGGGACAAAGAATAACACAAGTGTGGGACATGATCTGATTTGTTAGTGAAAATTTGGTCTCTACAACAGTTCGCAGATGATGACACTGTCCGAAAAAATCCTATCCCTCCAGGTAAGATTGCAAAGGCCATTGTTATGAAAATTGTTTCCTTTCTTTCCACTCTACCAAGAGAGAAATAATTGCACAAAACTCTGATCAGATCATTCCCATTGACTAAAACTTGCACTTTGCTGGGAGCACTGTCCCCATAGAAACTGTGCTTCATATGGTTGGGGGTTTCTTCGGAAGTCAGACTCATTTTAAGATTTTACAAGGTACACATGACCTACAATTTAACATCCTAAGGAAAGTACACAGGTGATGAAATACAGACTATGAGCCTGTTAATGCATTGAAAACAAATAGTTATTGCATTGGGATTTTATAAGACCATAGGGATTTCAGAAACAGTTTTAACAAGCTATATTTTTCACTCCCGAGTCACAAAATTCAAAATGAACTCAGAAATAAATCAGTCACCAAGAAAAGAAAAAAATTTAGTACCTATTTTTGACAAGGTTATTACTTGCAAGCACATTGCTATTGGCACCTTGATACTTGTGGTTTTTCACAGCAACACATAACCCTGGAAATACAAATATATATCAGAACATTAGAATTTACATTGTTGATTTACCAGAGGAAGCACTCTTGATAATTCATATGCTGAAGAAATGAAATGGGCATATCAAAATTCAACATCTAGCACCTGACAAGTGGCAGTTATTGAGGAATATTTTACCCACAATTTGTGGACAGTCCCATACTTTGTTGTGCTCCCAGTTCTTGGACAAAGAAAACAAAGGACAAAAAACATTATATTGCCTTTGGCACTACAGCTTTGTTTTAGATTGGATGGGGCTAAGGAAAGATCTTTCCGTATTTTGCCGCATAAAAGTTAGAGACTGTGAGAGTGAGTCTTACAACTCGAAAATCAAGTGAAACTTAAGGTGGTACTGCATGCTAATTTGATGAATTTTTGACAATCTTGGGAATAAAATATCTCATAACAGATTTGTTGCAATGACTTGAATGATTATATGCATAATATGTAACTAAAATTATATTGCCAGGTGTCAAGGAACTTGTGGAATTTCAAGGAATTAAGAAGTGTGTTGAAAAGGCCATTTTGGATAATTACTTCTCTAATCTGAGACAATTAAATGTTACCCAAGATGGTTTGGCACATGCTTGAAGATAATGGGAATAGAGATTTTGAGCACATTCCATCAAATTATATTACATTTTGACAATTTTGTCCTCAATGAAATGAACAAAAATTAAGGTTGTGATCCAATATCTTCTCATTTGGCCAATTTGTGGCAGACTGTAGCAGCCTGCACTGTGAATTTTTGTCATTGCAGGTAGCTTTGGTTTGCCAAGTTTTCTATCAAAATAAAAAATTTTCCCTGAGATAATGTCATTGCAGCAGCATGACACGTTGTAGCTGCACTAATTACTTTGGGAAAAGCAGCAATATCTTTGACAGAATTTGTCAGAGAACCCATGTTTACTTTCCTTCCTTTTGAAAGCCATCTTGAATAATCCAGTGATATTTTGCTGCAGCAGTAAAATACAAAATAGTGCAATATAGATGGTCATAATTGCTATATTCGTCTGTTGTTTTTCCCAAAAAACCAATCAGAATATGAGACTAAACACATTCACACCATCTGTAGCAATGACACCTTTCCTGAGGTGTTAAGACAATCTTGGACATTAGTGGGAGATGAAAAAGCAACATGAAAGTAGAGTTTTCAGTAAATGTTCTACACCTTCTCTTACTTACTCACTTGGTTAGGAAGTGAAAAGAAGGAAAGTGCATCATCAGGAACCACAAAATTAAGACGTGAAAGTCAAAGATTTCAATTGATCAAACATGGTGTGACAAAATATAGCATCTTATTATTTGCTTGCTTATGGTTGCCATCAGGATCATATCTCTATTTTCCAGGAGATTCGTCCTCTGAAACAAAACTTCTATCACACATATTTCAAAATGTTTTCCAATTGTTAAACTACAATCTTTCATATGTGAGAAAATAAAGAATTCCAAAAAGGTCAAGATAGCCTCAGGTACCACCTCAAGTTGATAAAGATTTCTACGATTACATAACTAGGCTATATATTAACTCTGCACACAGAAACAATATCCAACTTTTTTACCTTTTTCATATATAAATGCCATTACTCACGTTGCTGAACCATCAAATTCAAAACCCACGTCGAAGATCTTTACTGTTAGAGCCCACAGTAAATACACTCTAGTTTTTTTTATCCAATAGACTTGCAAAAAATTAGTGTAATTGTAGAAACACGCCGCTTCCTTCGCGTGTTCGCGTTGTTTGAAGAACAAAGCATAAAACCGCCTTGGCAACTTTAGAAAAGCTGACTTTTCGAGCGTTAACCCTTTGATATATACGAATCATCAGCCTTGAAAAATTTTCCAAGGAGTTCATGTTACCCTTAAAAACTTAATGACGCATCGCAAGCTAAAATTGATAACTATATTCCAGGAGCAATTCTATAACAACCCATTCAGGTTCGTATGTTGCGAAAGTTGGAGATATTCACTCGTCGGTAAGCCTTATATACACCGTAATAATAATTTTTGAAAAAACACAGAAATGAAACCAGTTGTGTAATCTCACCAGCTACTGAAGTTTTCCTCAGGTTTCGAGTCAAAGATGATCGTAATAAATTTGCACATCTGACAACGTTTTTGGCCGCCATCTTGAGTCTCACAACATCCGCTGGTCAAGAAAGTGCAGTCTCCCTTCAAAACTGTGCCCCAGTTTACCCCAATCAAACCCAGTCACATCAACGTTAGGGTAGCTTCATGTTTACCTATTTTCAGGTTTAATTGAAGGAAGCATGAAAAAAGTGCTGAGAGTTGCGACAATCATGATCACACGAACAGACTTTGAAGGACTCTTATGATCAAAATAAGAATGAACAAATAATTTAATCTATAGCAAAGAGGAATTAGAAGAAAAAGGTAGTTTGTTTCAGAAAAATAGGAAAAAAAAAGGATTGAGAACACGATCTTAGGAAAATCGAACCCGGCTTGTAAAAGTGCTCTATGCGGACAGTTAATTAATCATTTACGAAACTCATACAAAATAAATCACGAGTGATAGTCTGCGAATACAGCCATCTTTTATCGTGCGTCAAGATCGAGTCATGGGGTGCATTTATAGACAGGCTACCACAGAAAGAGTCATTTTCCCGCTAGTGATTACGCTTCATAATTTACTTTTCTCAAAGCCGCTTTGGTAGAAGGAGTCGTCGTTGCGTGACATTTCTCATCACTGGATTCTGTGAGCACGTGTGCTCTGGGAATAGCGCATTGCGTAAACAGTAATACGATACACATTTATTTGACACGTTTAAGACCTTCGCGACGCAAGCGAAGTTCCTCTTAAATCATCGTATTTGGTCTAACGGGATCAGAAGCGCTCTCTTTAAGTTCGATTGTCTCACTACGAAGGCGCTGATTTTATGGAGAACATGCAGTGGATCTTTCAGATCATCATCGTGTCCGGTTTTGTGATATTTTGTGGGGGAGAATTTATTCCTTTTAAACATTTGGGACTTCATCATACTGATCCGGATGTCTTGAGAAATGTGGTGAGTTAACTCAATCTTTTCCTGCGTGTGAAGGAGCAAACAAAAAATTGCCTGAGGTGCCACGCGACATCGATTGCGCGTTGCCTCCGATAAGGAAATAGAGGCAAAAAATCTAGCCGCAATCGTACTTGTAATGGTTAGTGATCTAGATGGACATCAACGACGTCAACATGCTTCAACATATCAAGAGCAATTACAAATGTTATTGCACCCGACCTTTAAATTTTTAAACGGTCTTTATTGATTTGTACGTTCTTTACTTAACATGGCTCGACAAATGTAATTAGATCGTTTGTTTTTACGCGTTACTTGGGATAGTACAAGTATGGTACCTATAGACGATCGATAATATTAGCAAAACACGTTCATTATAGTACGTGTATTGAGTAATCCGTCACATGCTAGCGATATGAAATACGCACGTGACAACCTACTGAAGGACCACCTACGGGGAAGTGAACACGAGTTATGAGTGCAGACTGCCACTAAGGGCCTGGTTACATAGAGGTGGGGGACGTCAGGTAAGTGAGGTAACCCGACTAGGTGAGGTAACCCGCCTGTCCATATGATCTCTTATTTTATTTTGATCACGTTTACATGATAGGTGGGGTTACCCGCTAAAGTTGGGTTGCCCGGTCTGCTGGGTGGGGTTACCCAGTCAGCTGGGGTGACAATTTGCCATGTAAACGTCTCAAGGTGGGGTAGCCTACTTAGCCGGAGTTGCGTTCATGTTACCAAAGAATCAAATGAGCCAAACACGAGTGTTTCAAAACTTACTTTAAAGTTTATTTTTGTTTGTTTTTAAAACAAACAGAACTAAAACTGTAAAACACCAATTTTAACCTCGACATCAATTCATGATTACTCACGTTTTTACCTTGAACCCAACACTACATTAACATGTTATGCCGAAGTGAGGACGTCGTACCGTTAGAAACAGTGAACGCTTCGAGCTATTGCCGAAAATCTTAGAGGAAAATAAGTTGCGTTTATTCGGCAACGTTTTACCACACGTCGCCGTAGTGACATTTAACTCCTGCGAGCGCGACAACAACCCCGAGAATCTTCACCTCGGCATTCCGGGGTTGTAAGATTGTAAGTAAATGCAGGCTATTCTTTCACCATGGGTAGGCGTGTTACCTTACCTACCTGGGGTCCCCCACCTCCATGTAAATAAGCCCTTAGTATAGAATGATGTTTTGAACTATGATCGAATGAATCCACTTAAGAAATGCTATTTTCATCAGTATTTTAATTAAGAAAAAAAAAAAAAAGGAAGACTCAAATACGCACAGCAATGGTTAAATTATAAGATTAGAGGTGAATAAAACCTACTTTTCCAGAAATTGTGCGGTTCATAAGACTTACAATGATGCTCAGTGTTCATCTTGTGATGTGTATGATTTGAAACCGATACCTGACTTTCCGTGACTGCGAGAAAAAACAACTGATTTACGTTGTTTAGATAAAGAAGTGGCAAGCAAAGTTGCTCTGTACGAAGTACAAAGAGCTCTTAGAGCACACAAGCCTGACGTGCGTGTCCATGCCACACGCAGGTTGTATATCAAAGTTAAACGATTTTACTTCAGAAAGTAAATGAAATTCAGACAAACCATAGTTTTCACTGAATTTTGTCTCTTTCTGAGATAGCATTCTTCCTTTGTGTGTCAAAACACTGTATTTTGTATGTATGCTCCTGCTGTCAGTTTGTTTTTTCGGATTTTTAACACCACTTAAAACAACAATCGACCTTCGACCGGCTAAGATCACGCTTGCTGGCATAAAAACTACCAAGGCAGAACAAAAATTCAAGTGTATATATCTACGTAAGATAAAACTAAGTCGAACGTCGTCCACGAGGAAGGATTGATATTATATACTAAGTTGAATTTTTTCCCTCTAGACTCAAATAATTGCCAGCAGAGGATACCCCGTCGAAGAGCATCACGTGACGACAGAAGATGGCTTTATTCTTGCCTTGCAAAGGATTCCTCGCGGAAGGAACGAAAAGGAAAGCTCTTCTCGCAAAGAGGTAGTATTCTTACAGCATGGCCTTCTTGCAGACGCGACGAACTGGATCATAGATACTCCAACCAGAAGCTTAGGCTACATGCTCGCGGACAGCGGCTACGACGTGTGGCTTGGAAACATCCGAGGAAATGATTATTCAAGGCGTCACGTGAAGTACTCTCCACATCAATCAAAATTCTGGAATTGGAGGTGAGTTTGTGATCCTGTTTTGAAGATAGGTTTCAAAAATACCCACTTGAATTCCTGTTGGTGTCTTAGCGCGAGCGCATTAGTTAGTTGAATAACCATTTTCGCGGGCGGGGTGATAGCTTTTTCGGCTAAAGGTTAAAATTTTGGCCGATTTACAGCTTACAGTTGATATCTTTTCATTGCTGTCACTAGAAATTTTTATTACGGTTAACCTTTTTTACGACTAACAGTTAAAATTTGTCAATTTTTACGCCCAGCAGCCAAATTTTTTTGACCGTTTGACGGCTAACGGTTAGCCCCATTGGAACCCTCAATATGTACTCTCTTAGTAAGGTGGGTATTTCTTCAAAGAACTTAAAACCGTGACTTGTAAAGCATTTTCAGTGTTTCAAATTACTTTTGATATATTCGCCGACATTAAGTGAATTCACTGAGATCTGACAGTTATGATACCCTTTGTTTAAAAACCTACTGAAAATGAAAGTTTATTTGATTTCCTCGTGAGCGAAAACCTTGTTAGTCATTTTATGGTGATCTGATACTCTGTGCGCTGTTTTAACTTATTGGCAAGAGAATATCAGCAGTTGATATTCTCTAACTCATTGGTCATTTTGCGTTGTTACTTGTGTTGACTACATACATTGCGCCCGACCTTGTTCCTAGTTCCTTGTTCCTTCTCACCCACCAGCGCGAAAGGATCTCAGTAAGGATGGCAAAAAGAGTGACCTTGGGTACGAGTTCGGTTTGCACGCTGCATGTGCATGCATGAAAGCTTCGTGCAGTAGGTGTGTCATAGGTTGTCAATCGTTTTTGGGATAAACCCTCTTTAGATCGGCGCGCGTTAGTAAGGAAAATCGTTGCGAGACAACTAGAAGTAGGAAGGAGTTGGAAAAGGGAACCCTCTTCGACTAAATATTGTACGAGTTTTTACCAGTGCCTTTCTTGACCCTCTAAGTCACTGTTAATGTCTTGAAAATTCTTTACTTTTCATGCCTATTACCTCCTTTGGGTGTGTTTCACTCCGGATTTTTAATTTCGCAGTTGGCAAGAAATGGCTAAGTACGATCTTCCCGCCATGATCAATTATGTACTGAAAGTCACGGGTGAAGAGCAGCTGTATTATGTCGGCCATTCGCAAGGGACACTGATTGGTTTTACAGGATTCTCTGAAAATCCAGCTCTGGGAGAAAAAATCAAGATATTCTTCGCTTTAGCACCTGTCTATACTTTGAATCATTGTACAGACATTGCAAAAGGCGCAGCAAAGCTCATATATCCACTTGTCAAGGTAAGGAGAAAACCCTAAGATTTATCATATTTGACGAAGAGGACAGGAGATATCTATTACACATATTAAGTATGCACCTCGCACTGCGCGAAACAAATTTGGGTAAGGGTTCCGAAAACCGGACCCCAAGCTCCCATCAGAATGATCTTCACGGTGGAAGCTCGGAGGTAAAAGTTTCTTTTTCATAATGGCAAGGATTCTGGGATCAATGTCAGCATCTGAGAAACTGCGAATCTACCCTCCCCCCCCCCCCCCCCCCCCCCTCCCTCCCCTAGACCAACATTAACGCTGACTTGTTACCAGTTGACTGTTTCAGGTTGGGGGGAAGGGTAGGTGCGCAGTTTCTCAGATGCTGGAGATGATGGCGTATCGTCTCTCTGTTATTCGGCACGACGAAATTTACTGCTCTAGGATCCCAAATCTCATTTTGGAAAAAAGAAGTGAGTTAGACAGATTTGTTTTTCCTCTTCTCTTTAGAAATTGTTTCCTGGTATGACCTTTGATCTTCTTCCCGGAAACTTCTTGAGAGCTCTGGTCAATCTGGGTTTCTGCGCAAATCCTATCTCTGAGCGAGTTTGCTATGATTTCATGGAGTTGACGATTGGTATGGATAGCGAAAATATCAATAAGGTAAGATGTTGACAGCAAAAGACAATTTAAGAAACCGTTTGTTATTTATCGCCTGAGGGGGGGTTAAGGATTTTTGGTGTGTCACGATATTAAATTTACATGACACCCCCCCCCCCCCCCCAAAGGCTCTAGAATATTATTATGATATTCCCCTCGTTGGCAGTCGATTTCTTTTGTTCTCCTTCCTTTATACTCTGTTGCAACGACTGATCCCTTACGTTCCTCCTGAAAACCATGTGATTCCCCCCAAAAAAAGTCCACCCCCTCCCACCCCCTCAGGCGATAAATATGACTGGTTCCTGAAGGACAATTTTTTAATGAGAATCTTTTACTCCATAGTCACAAACTTTGATTTTCACTGACCTGTTTTTCCACGTCTTGACAGTCGAGAGTACCTGTGTACCTGGGTCACTTTGCAGAGGGGACATCTTTCAAGGACGTTGTACATTTCGCACAGGTGTGTATTCTACAGGCTCTTGGGAAACTGGGGAGATATCAGCAAACCAGTGATCAATAGGATAGGAAATCACGTGCACGTGTTATACAGATACATTGCTATTGCCGGCAATCGAAGTCGCTGTAGTGGTAGCCAATCAGTAGCAGAAGTGCTGGCAGTATCTGTGGTAAAAGTTGTTGAAAAAGAAAAAAATAAGTTATAAAGAAAAGCTCTGCTTTAGCGACTCCGGCCTCTTTTCTAGCTTGTGATGGTGGCTCAGTTCTCCCTTTCCCCCCCCTCCCCTCGCAGCCTTACACTCTCAGCTTTCGGGTAAACAAAATGACGAGTGTATAATGCGTAATCGGTGGGTTTGCTAAGAGTGTTTAACATTTTTAATTTTTGACATCAGATGGTGTACGAATTGTCCAAAATTAAATAATTGAATAAAAAAACGGTAATGTAATCTAACAAAGGTCGTATGTAACACCTTTTCACTTAGTCTAATGCATTAAATTTGAAACAATATCTCTTTCCTCGATGCTCTCCTCTGCTGCAAACTGGAGCTTTTACTTCTTTACGTTTGTAGTTGATTGTGAACAAAAAGTGTCAGAAGTTTGATTACGGCGAAGCTGGGAACATGAAACACTACAATCAGGTAACGCATTATACCAGTTTGAGTTTGTGTTCATGTTATATAAGGTTTCCATCAGTTTTACTGAAACAGAATAACAAAACGAATACAAATAGTTGCATAAGTGACCGTCACTTGAAATTAGTATGCCTAATCACATGATGCCATGCTGGTGTCGGGAAGTTGTTTTCAGAGCGTTCTGAGAACCTACCTACGTTGATATTTCTGTGGATAAGCAGAATCGTGACATTTTCGGCTGGTTCAGAAGAGGGTTGCCAAGGCGTCGGCCCTGGTTTTGTCGTCAGTTTTAATTTTTTCTCTTTTCTCTCCAGGCCACCGCTCCTCTCTATAACGTGAAAGACATGACTACCCCAACTGTGCTGTTTGTAGGGGCCCACGATGTTCTCGGTGACCCAGCGGATGCGGCAGCACTTAAGCCGCAAATCTCTAACTTAATACACTATGAAGTTATTCCCGGCTGGAATCACTTGGACTTTCTATACGGGATAGACGCAGCAAAAATTTTGTATCCCAAGATTTTGTACACTATGGAGAAGTTTGAATAGGGCTCTAAATCTGTGCACCTCGTAACATTAATATCTGGCCCTCGGTTGATCGGAATTTACACTCCAGATTCATTCCAAGTTATTCAACGGATATTCAAGCGAAAGATGGTTTAAACATTTTTGTAAAAAGCAATTTACCACTGCATGTCGAACACGGCAATGTGTGCAATCGCTCTCTAGCTAATGTTTAATAGTTAATTTAAAAAATGGTTATAAAGTTAAAGGATTGCATTTGGTGTAGGGCATCCATTAGTGCATTGATTAAAGGTCATGGTCTTGACGTTAAAATGAACTGCACCATTGTTTTGATGACTTCGACGTGATGAGACAATTATGTCCCAAAGAGACAGATTTGTGTGAATACAGGAGCTCCTCGGTTCAGGTTTCTCTTTCCGCTAAGTTTGCGGAGCATTGCAGGTTACCCCAGGATTTCGTCAGGTTTTCCGGTAGTTCCCTTTTAATCATGTGCTTATTTCGGGAAAGGAACGATGAGGGTAAGAGTTTTTCCCGTGAACACAACACAAACCCTCATCTCTTATCTTATTGATTGTAAGGAAGACAAGGAACGTGGTTCTGACTCAAACTAACCTGACGCGTGTTTATCTGTTTTTTCTTTTCTTTTTATTTGTTATTTATTTGCTCTTTCATTCTATTGAAGAAGTTATATTCATGATTTAATGGCATACATAAAACAGCTGTGCTAGTCGTTATAATTCTTGTCGAGTTAATCCAGGTGGATGATCTTATTAAGTTGACAATGTAAAACCCCAGCTTGGGTTAATTAAATGGTGGAAAACGTTTTAAAATTTGACCTAAAATTTCCACACGATTTTTCTTTTCCATTTATTTGTTCAGCTTGGAATTCTGTCAGAGCATTTTATCTGGGTTGCACGCTTGACATGAATCTCTTTTGTGCTATTTCCCCTTTGTTCAATTACCGCCCTCATCCCCGCCAACCCTTCTACTGTGGCTAATAGTCCCTCAATGGGTGCAAGAGTAGAATTACTTGGAGTTGTTGATTTGATACGGGATTTGATTGAAACATTACGTGTCTTGTCCAACAAACCGAAGACGGCTGTTGACTTGAACATTCTAAAAATATACCCATCGAACTAGATAGAAAGTTCCTTCAGCTCGATGGAAAAGATAGAAGTTGAGCAATACTAAAGATTGTTATCGTCAAAGCTCAAATTGGTCATAGCGTCTCATAGATGGTGTAATTTAATTTAATTACCTAGAGGCTTACTTTTACTAAAGATTGTTATCGTCAAAGCTCAAATTGGTCGTAGCGTCTCATCGATGGTGTAATTCAATTTAATTACCTAGAGGTTTACTTTTTCATGCCTTAACTTGATACTGAATACATCCCATCCCATTATAGACTAGTAATTACAGTCAGTTGTATTATAAACGAATCATTAAGTATTATTTACAGACCTTACTGAAACCTAAGCTTGTTACGGACCAGCTTTTATTATTTAAGTTAGCCTTTCGTTCTGCTGTTCAAATTCAAGCTCTACATTATGGCGAAGTCTTCTAACGCTTTGTGGATTGCTACATCTGTTATTCTGGTTACTGTAATGGCTGGCAGTGTAATGCTGTGGAGCAAAAGGGAAACATCAGGTCAGTTATAATTAAGTTCAATATGTCGTAACTTCAATGCCCAATTGGCCTTTAGTTGATGACCGAGTAACACTTAGACAGAACTTTTGGCCCCAGAATGACCCATTCCAAACTCAGTTATGAATCTATGATTGACTGGTCTTGTTTTCCACAAAAAGGGGTCTGAAGTGAACAATCGAAAAGTTCAGCGAGTATTCGAGAAACTTTTTGCTTATAAGGAATAGAACCTACGTAGCGAAAGTCACGTTTTTTGCTTGCATTCCTTCGATCTCTCACAATTCTCAGTTGGGGGTCTGATATACCTACAGATCGAACATGTCGAATCAATCACTAAAGCTAAGCCGTTCATTTCACACATTGAAATCATGACATCAATACTAAATGGGAATATGGGCTAAAATCGAGAAACAAATGCGTTGCAAGTTCGATTTTTCTAATGCAGCGCTGGTCAACTTCCACGACACCGGGTCAAGACAACTTTTGATTAATTGGACCATGTCTTCAAGAGAAGCAATCACGTCCAGAAAACGCAACATTTGCCAAGTGTTTTACAGATGTTTCATAACGTTTGCAAAAGAACAGGTTCTCCCTTTAACATCATCTCTTACGGATGAAATAATATACAATTTTAAAAACCTGCACTTGACTTTCAGAGAAATGATCTCTCAGAGATTTCAAGTTTATATATTTATAATCAACAGCAGTCGGTAGACTTCGAACTGCATCAGTGAGTTACCTGATATTCTGGCTGTGTTAAATACTAAAAGCTCGAGGTCGATTACAAAATCTTAAATCTTCCTGCACTTATCATGTTGTACGTCAAATCAACGCAGACTCTGCAATCAAGAACATGCATGCCAAGTTTATCATAAAGATTCCTCCAATGATTTTTCCCAGAGATGGGTACTTCAGTGGGAGTAATTGATCAATTTTTGGGAACAGGGATGGTGTTGAAGGCTTCTCACTGACTATGACCCTGTTTCGGACAAAAAAATAGAAATCAACAAACCTTCCCTGAGTAAGAAAAAACCCATCAATTAGGGGACCTCTTTGGACAAATATTTTGTGGACAAATATTTTTTAATACCTTATTCAGGAAAATCCTCATTTGCTGTAACTTCGATACACAAATATTACCAACGCGAGTTACAAAACAAGTTTCGACCAAGAACTCGTCAGTTGATTGCTATACAATATTAGAGTGAACGTAAACATGCTTCCGTGTAGCAACATGTGAATAAGATAACCTCTCAAGTGAAATCTCCCAGAAACTACTTTTTTCATTCCACTTTTTTCTTAATTCACCGAGTCGCTGGGGTAAGGCTTATTCGAGTAATTGCGATATTTGATCATGGAACAGACTCGACTTTGGAATGTCGTCTAGCTCACGGTTCATGCGGTTTTAGGTAAACAACGATACTTCTCGAATGAATAGAAGTAAACAATATTTGGGATATCTGTCAACACATCCGACTAGCTAATTGTTTTTACGCCAAAGTAGCTTTACCTTATCTTTAAGAAAATCCTAACAAAAATGACTAAGGCTCATTCAATTAACCTAAATTCCTTGTTCTTAACAAACATGCAGTACAAAGAAAAATAAATGAAAAGTCAAAACAAAACCCGTGTAATAAAACTTTGACAGTTTTAAGTAATGTTACCTGTACTTACTTCCAAGTGTCATTTACTCTTCTACAAATACGTCAAAAGAGAACTTACAAATGTGTATGACTGTACTACGGGTCACGGACAGCCTAGCCTATACATACCCACCGAGACAACAGCTGCGAAAAAGACTAGAAATCTACATTCTTCTTGCCCAGAACTAAAAAAAAACCAACTACAACAACAGCCAAAAAATTGCCTCACAAAGGCTGTTAAGGGTGATAATCTCGCATCTTAAGCTATCCAAGTATGTTTCAAGGCCATAAAAAAGGAGCAGCCTAGCCCGAGGCTAGCAAAGCAAGACATTTAAAAAAAATCTATTTAGTCATCAGCATTTATACAATTGAGCAAACTCAGCAATAAGAACGAACAAGAGATTATATTCTCTTGGAACGACTGAACAAACCACCCAACTTGCTCAGAAAATATTTGAAAGGAAATGAACTAAATCAACTCGAAAACAAAATTATAATTTTCCCACTTTCAATGACTATTTCCATAAGCGGCTACTGATGATTACATTACATCGATGTAATGGGCGGCTGGGGCGAAAGGTGAAATCCAAACTCGAGAGCGGGCTCGGGAGACAGATAATCGGTTTTTATTGAAACTTCCACTAAATAACATCTCCTATGGTTTTATTGTTCTGTTACAGGAATGAATCAAACTCCGCTAATTCCCTATTTCTCATAACCGTCTTTCAATAGTGAGCACTATTTTTAGAATAAGAATGATTTACGTCATTGAATTGAGAAGTCGCAGTCTCTTTGGACGAGCGTTCTCTATCGTCGAAACTTAAAATTTTAGAATTAGTTCATTTGAATGGAATACGTTGTAGTATCCACTTTGCGTGCGGGCCATTAGCAACACGCACAAGTTGGTTAGGAACCTCTCAACAGTGTTTTGTTTTTTCGTGATGTCCGCCGGCACGATGCTCAAACATTCTTTAATGACTCCACCTTTTGAATTCAATAATTCAAACGAGACAAAGGCTATCTCAGTGTCATCACGCTAGACAGTCCGTACGCTCCCATCCGACACACGGCAATGTTGATAACAGACAATTTAAAAACGCGCGTCAACCCGAAACGGTTCAGTGCCACAGTGAAGTTTGTCGTGTGAGGAGATCGAGGATTTTCGAGGTTGTGATTACTAAATTGAGCATTCATGGCCAAGGAAAAAGGCTATTTTCCACTCTGTACAGGAGTTTCCATCGCCTTGTTAGTGGTTGTGGCCTGTCTTCTTGTTATTCTTAATAGAGGCAAGTAATTTTATCATTAATTGAACTTTATTCATTTGAAAAAAATATCAACAACCATAATATCACCAAACCAAAGATTAATCGCCACTCTCTGTGACTGAGAAGTTGATTTATGAGAATAGAGAGACTTCTCGATTAGCCGGTTAAGTCGCTTAAAAGCGATTTTTCTTTCCACCCATTTCAACAGATTCATACTACCCTTTAACTTACAAAATTTTAAAATATAGAAACGGGATTATAAAGTGCGGTAAGGAGTGACTACTTTGATGAAATATTTGAAATGTAAATTAAATCTAGGGAAACAGGACACGTTTCTCTCAGCAACTTTATTTCAACTTAAAACCTTTCGCAAAGAAGACTTTGAACGTGACTTCGCAGTCTTCGCGTGGTTAATAATCATACTTCAAGTGCTGATTTGATAAGTAAACTTCTTCAATCATGTAGGACTTCTCTGTTCTCAATTATACCAATTCATTCTTTATCATTCGCAATCAATCACGTCAAAAGAAATTTAGGGTATTCTACTTAGTGTATCTGTTACGAAAACTTGCGTCCACTCTTCCTCGGTAGGTAATCATCAAGGAGAGTTTATAATGCATACTTCAAACGTGCTTATTTTGCTTCAGTTTTTTTCTTTCCGCCGATATACCGTGTGTAGAAGAGCTCTAGGCTACAATTGAGAAATTGAACGTTTCCGGCCCAACTCCTCCCATTTACTTTCGACCGATCACGCAAAGAACCTC